TGTGAAGTTCTGAACGACAGTGGACCAAAGAGACAGACATAATTACATCAACTGCGTTTAACATTTGAGAAACAATCTTGACCGACGTTCATCAGTACTTATAATGTTATGATCGACAAGTGATGTGCAGCCGTGTGCTCAAGATATTTGTATGGAAAAGGCTTGGAAATCACTTTTGCTTTACACAAATAATAGTACATATAATATTACTGTCCCGCCTTACGGTATTACGAAGTAATGTTTTTCGAATCTTTGGTAGCGAATGGTCATGTATAAACGCGGAAAAAATCGTTAAAAAGAAATATACTTATTTTTACTTAAAAACTCATTTTCACTGTACGTTATATCATGTACGATTAATATGTATAATCATCATCTAAAATAGTGATTTTATATAACAATAATAGTATGTTTAGTATTTGTAAATAAATTGTAATCTGTGCCTGTATCATAAAGCAACTCCATAAAATAAATTCATTGAGTATGAGTTTGACCAAAACTGTGTATAGGAATTCGACACCCCTGAGCATAATCGTAATGTCGGAGTGCCATCACACTTAAACGAAACTATAGCACCCCGAAGCTCATTTCCTCTTTTGCCCTTCCTTCTTAACATGTCCTTGGGTTCAATTATTTACATAAGTCTGACTTGACTTTGAAGAGAAAATCACAAATTTACCATAATTATATACGATATTCTTAGATTTTAAGTATTAAAATAAACGACTTTTATTCTTAAGATAAGAAAAAAAATAATAAAATAAAAACATGGGTGTAAGTTGAATAAAACTAAAAAAAAAACTATAAATGTTAGAGAGTGTTGCACCTCACGACGTGACGTTAAATTTTAATCGAACAAAACGTTCTCCGTGCTCGTTTATTCCTTCGTCCAAAAAGTGCAAAAGTGAAATTCGTACCGCATTAAGAGAAACGATGGCGAGAACTTGAACGCTCTCAAACGACTTCGGCAACTCGACATAACAGGATTACCGACGAACATGTTAGTCTAAACGTTTTGTGTGACGATGTTCAAAAAAAATATATTTAATCATTTTTTTATGAGACTTTGAGACTTCTCAAACAGTATATGCTTCAAATCAACGTTTCTTGTTGTTGATAGCAAAATCACAATATCGTCTGGAATATTTTCGTTAAAAACAAAAAAATAAAAATAATAACAATGACGTTTCCGCTTGCGAAGCACGTTCGTGCGCGTATTATTGTTACACTCGACGAATCGTAGAATTGTGTTTTCTCCCCCCACCTACCCCTCCGTATTGTGTTATGATCGATACCGGACGGGTGCGCGGTCTTTTCATCGATGTTCCGCAGACGCGATCCACGGAGCCGGCTCGCGGAAAATCAAAACGAACGGTCGTAATTCATCTAACCGCCGTACGATTCATGTCCGTCTCTCCTCGGCCGCGGCGCTGCATATCAATCCGCTGTATTTGTTTTCGATTTACGAGCATTGATCTTCCCGCGAACAGGTCAGAACGCGCGCGCGTTTTTTTTCCGAGACGAGCAACAACTACGACGATGATAATAAGCAGTAATAACAGCGCGACCGGAGGAAACGCGTTTGTCTATCCGTAACGGCGTTCGCCGAATAGAAATAATAGCCGTTGTCGGCGCGTGACACAATAATAATAATAATAATAACGAAAAAGACAACAATTACAAAAATTCCGCGTACACGTATCGCGCGCGCGCAGCACGTCGGTGCAATACGCCTACGGTATAAAACGCGTACAAGCGCGCGTTCGGTCGTCGTCCGTCCATTGAGTTCGCTTGGGCGGGTATCGTGTGCGCGTAAAGCGAATAAAAAAAATAAAAAAAAACTTTATACTGTGTGCCTCGTGATAATTATTCGCGTACGGGTGACGGCCGTTCAACACGCGGTTTATTTGCGTTGCGATAGTGTGGGCAGGGTTAGTATATAGACTTACTTTTAGGGGAGAAGGGGGGTGACTCAACTTTTTTATTTAAATTCAGACTCAAAATTTACAAGTAACATTTTTGGTAGCATTTATATCCGGCGTATCCTTAATATTTGTGTTTTTTTTTTTTTTTTTAAATCTAATGTCGGATCCGCTTAGAATCGACGTTTGTGTAGTTCTTTTCTAACTCCTGTCTGTGTTTTAAAAGTTACGTTTGGGTTTTATTTGATTTTTCACCAAGTATGGACCCGACTAAAAGCCCGATTCGCCACGCCCAGTTCAGCCACGCGTAATTCGATTTCGTTGTAAAACGATCTACATTAAAAAAATTTCAAACTTGTATCTCACATATAATTAATTCCTTAAATAAGAATTCAGGGAGGCAGATGATTGCCCCATCGCCCTCCCCTAAAATACGCTTGTGGGTGGGGGGAAACATGAAATGTACCGTAGGTGGTGCACGTAGAATGATAAGGCATACAAAATTACAGGGTGCACGCAGTGTCGGATTTACGTATAAGCTACACAAGCTATAGCTTAGGACCCCCACTGTCTTGGGGGCCCCAAAAAAATTTTCCAAGTTAGTATTGGTTATATTCTAAATATGGGGCCCCAACACCAAAAAATAAGAAAAATAAAAATATTCAAACAAAGAGGATCAACACGGAGAAATATTTCAAGTATTGAATAATGCATATTATTATTATTAGATAGTAAACTAGTTACTTGGAAATTAATATTATGTTTCGCTATATTATTGTAGACGTGTAAAGTGATAATGTGTATTAGAACCGTAGAAATTAGTGATGGGAACAATCGAGAAAAAATAATCGAGTAACTCGATTGAGGATGTAATTGAGGATCTTACTTCGCTTAGGTGTGGGAGTCATTCGATATAATAAGAACGATCTAAAAAAAATCAACTAAAAGAAATTTCACATTCTCAAAAATATTTAAAAGTTAACACAAGTTAAGTAAAAATACAATAACCAATATGTAACATTATAAACTAACAGTATTATAGCATTACATAATTTATAATCACAAACCATTCTTCCTCTCCGTATTTTTTAAATTATACTTAAATTATTTTTATCTGTCTTTTGTTACTCTGACACTTCTTCTAGGTATTCTTCAAGGAAGTCGATGTAAATGTAAATGCATACATACATACATCGCAAGCATGTAGGTACCGATAAGTGCAATGAGGTACGACTATGACGGTTTTTAATTAGAAAAAGAGCTGTAGAGAACAATTCAATTAATCTATATTTATTTTTATTTTATTTATTATACTAATGATTAGTTTTGTTTTTTATAAATACTCAGAATACAATATAAAATTCATAAAATATAATTTGACTGTTTATATGATTACCTTCATTTGTTGTCCATTACTTAAAAAACACGATAAATTATAATCATACAGTGGCAAATACATGCGTGTAATTCAAAAGTGGACACTTTTAAATTCGCGATTAACAATACTATCAACGGGAAAGAGTTTTATTATTAATATTTACAATACATCAAACGGATATTCATAGTTTTCGACCGATTTATTAGCTTTTAAAATATTATGCTGGCAGCATGTACATTTTTGTTTGGTCGCCTGGTAGGGAATTCACCATATATCGCGTTGATTGCTAAAACAAAATTCTATACCAGTTATTCGTTGATATCGAACATTTATAATAGTTGATTTTCACGATCGCAAAATATATCGTTTCGAATATTAGAATTCACCGAAGAACCTACGAGAAATAATGGCGTAAGTCGAATGGATCGGAACTTAACCGAAATACGAATTATTTAACTCGTTTAATTTATTGCACAGTTACCGGGCACACATTATGAGCAATCATTGCAAGGACATCACGAACCGTAGAACAAAGAGTGCTTGGTTCCTTAAATGTGTGGGATGCAACACTAGACGGATTTACTCATCGCATGTGTACAAGTGCACTGGTAAATAATTTTTCAATACCTTATGCGCTCACAGGGCCGTCGAGGCGCATTGGGACTATTTTGCCCTAGACCCCAAACTTTTGGTGACCACAACATCCATTGCTTTTGTTATTAACCCCATAATTACCCCTAGTTGCCACTATATAGGTCTCACCAAACTCTACGACGGCCCTGTACACTCGAATGACATTATTACCGTTGCATTTTAAGATATTGTTAAAATAAATCATCGGTGTTTGTTGTTGTCTCATGAATATTTTTTCTCCCGGTGTTTTATAGTGTGTAAGGTGTCCATACACAAACGTTGTTGGGAATTCGGTCAGTGCTGCGCGATCAAGGCTGCAAACGAACGGTCGGCCACTATCGCCACTGAAGTTGAAGTCTCCGAGAACGCGGGACCATCTGCACGGATGATGGTGGACTTACACGAAGTCTCGACGGAGACAACCAAAATGCATTTGGTAGATAATTCAATGCTGACGGACGTATTCGACCAATTACACGTCTCAACTGAAACCGATGTGTTGGACCAGTGTCACACAACAACTCAGACCGAGATATTAGACAAGTCTCACGTGTCGACTGAGATCGATGTGCTCGACCAGTGTCACGCATCGGTTCAGACCGAAATATTGGACTCGTGTGATGTGTCGACTGAGACCGATATGTTCGACCAATATCACGCATCGGCTCAGACCGAAAAATTGAACCCGTGTCATGTGTCAGCTCAGACCGATGTGCTGGATTTAGCCCAGTGTCACGTGTCGAGCCAAACTGAACTTGGATATGACCCTTTACTGATCGTCAACGAAAGTGCAGTTTCTCCCGGAGATGTTCCGATGTGCGAAAAAATCCACAGTGGACCGGCGATGGCATCAAACAGAAATGCTCTTGAGTTATTGTCCTTTCCAAATGGTGGACCAGAGGCTGGTGACACGGACGACGGAACAACCGTATTGAACGTAGACCGTATGAGTTCGAGGACAGAACTCACAAAAGAAATTACAATGACGGCCAAACAACGGATGCGGTATTAATGTTTTTATGATAATACTAAACAAATATCCGATAATAATATCAACGTGTGCCCTCTCACCAGTAAAATCAAAGTAGAGAAGAACATCGCGTTGAAAGTGAACACGGATGCCGTATCTGCGCTACAAGAATTGTGTATGGCTCGATGGTGGAAAATACCGGAGTATCATTCATGTGTTAAAATAGCTGATAACCATTTTCAAATAGAATGCTCTTTAAGAGGGTACACGATCAAAGGTACGGTCAGCTTTCTATGTGTTTTCACTTCAGCGTTACGTGTAATCACAAATCGTTATGTAAAAATATGTGCTTATACAGGCGAAGGATGGTCAAAAAAAGAGGCTAAACGTCAGGCAGCCTACAATGTGTACATGGTCGTTAAAAATCAAGATTAGCTTCGTTGTATTGAAATTGAACGTGAGATGAGCGAGGATGTGATTTTTCGGCTGCATCCGAATCGGGTCCCGAATTATTTTAGGTACACTCAGAAAAATATGTTTCAATGTTTTAATGAAATGGAATCATTATTTTGAAGTTCAACGATTTACCTAGAATTAATACTGAATTATATTAAATTAATAAAATTTTCTTTAAAATAAATACATATTCAATACATTAATATCCATAATTTAAAGATGACTAAATCAAATTAACGAAAAAAAAATGTTTGAAATAATGAAGTCTATAGATTCGTTTCAAGCATACATCCTATTTAAATGCAAAAAAAAATATAATTAATTTAAAGAATAGTTTGATAGGTTTGAATACCTCTAAGGCCCTATGTTTTAATGATAATAAAACATTATTTCTAATAAATGTTTTATTCTAGATTAATACTAAATTTATGTAAAATAATGATTTTTTCTTTCAACCAATAACCAAATATATCTTTAGTCTAATTAAATGAGTACTTATTTGTAAGCACTAGATTTGTCTTAAAATCAATACAATTACGTCTAGTGATGGGAACAATCGAGAAAAAATAATCTCGATTACTATTCGCTCGATTATTTTAATCGAGTGAATTACTCGATTACTATAATATCTCGATTACTAATCTCTGGATTATCGAAATCACTTGATTATTCCCATCACTAGTAATAACTGACTAACCGTATTTTCGTGACCGGGCGAAGAAACACGTGGCGACGCAATTTTCGTACTGACCCCGAGCGGGCGGTGCCTGTTGTTGTGGCCTAGGAGATGATGGGGGGGGGATGGGCGACGAGAGGAAAAACGTGTATCGGGCGCGACTGTACGGCGTGCGCACCGCAACAGAACGGGATCTGATAAAAAAAAAAACGCGCATACAGCGCGCATAATGAGTCGCAGAAAATCATTTGTACCGAGTGAAAGTCGTTTTGATGCATCATAAATCGTGGTGGTTGTTAAAAGTTTAATTAGGTAAAACGCGGTCGTCGTGTGCTCAGCGGCGGGAGCGAACCTTTTGTTCGTCCGCGGCGATCGGCGATAGTGTTGATTTATGCGCTCACGATGAGTCTAGGGTTGTTACCCGTGTATCTCTAATCGCTTTCAAACGTCGTCGCCGAAGCGTACGCCGAATCCAACTCTGCGCTTCCCATCTCACCACTCTCTCTCTCGCTCTTTCTCGTTCCCTCCGTCCGGGTACGTCTTTGTACCTGTACGGGCGCGTGCGCGTATTTATCACGTTGCGCACACCGCTGGTATATTTTTCTTTACAACGGTCGTGTTAAACAATAATATTAATTATTGAAAGCGTTGACGCTGTTGACACCTACACGTTTACGGATACGCTTTTCGTACGACGGCCGCGATAGACGGGTGTTGAGCATTCAAAAACATCGTTTTCGCGATTCGCGGACCTTCTCAGTAATATTCTAGGTTTCAATAAATACCTTATTCGGCATCGTGATGGCAGAGCAAGAGCTCCTTTGCACGTTTACGCAGGCTTTACGTCGTAGAGTATCATTGGATTCGCGTTGCTCGCCGGAGTGCGATTTCACTCTTTACGTTTAATCAATTATTCACTTTTTTTTTCTATAATTTATTTACACTGCATTTACACTTGCGTCCAGGAACCTAAATTGTTCTAAAG